GAGGTTGCTGTGAGCTGTAATGCCACGGCACTCTACCCAGGGGGACAGCTTGAGGCTCTGTCTCAAAAAAAAAAAAAAAAAAAAAAAAAAAAATTTGTGATTTTAATAAAAACATTTTATTAGTAAATAAAATTTATTATTATTAAACTATTCATTATTTGTGGATTATCATTAAATATAGTATTAATAAATACTTGAAATAATTTCAAGCCATTTTTATTTGCATTTTTTTATTATTACAGATTAATATGAGGGTACAAATGTTTAGGTTACATTATTTTCATTTCTAAGGTAAAGTTCAAGTTGTAGTTGAGCCTCTCACCTAAAGTGTACACAATGTGAGGATGTTCAGCATGCCCTCTGGGTAAATGGTTCGAGTACCTGCTTTTTAAAATAAAAGTAAAGCCAAAAATAGAATATGATTGGAATTATAAACAGTGCATAATCATGGATGACTAAACTTATAGTGTTTCATACTTATGAACAGGCTCCTAAGGGTCCCCAAAGAGATAATTTGTAATTAAATTAATAATTTGCATCTAGTTTTTGCCATGCATGTAGATAAACCCTCCTGGCATAAGTGGTTGACTGACACAGTATCTTTATGCCAGAAGTCAGACTCCTTTATATGATCACACACAGCATCAATTTCTTGAGTCTGTGTTTACCCTTATCATGCCTTCAAAGCAAAGTCCACTGCAAGTCCAGGTAAGCCTGCCTCAAAGAGAAAGGTAATTACAATAAAACCAAAAGAAAAGCCAGACACCATCATCCATTGGGAAAGCATTAGGGTTCAGTAGCTTGACTATTGGGACAATTATAAAGGATAAAGTGAAAATGATGGAACATGTGAAAGGCAGTACTCCCATGAAAGCGTAATTTATTACTAAGTAGTATAGTGGCTTACTTATTGAAATGGAAAGGTTATTCTTGATTTGGTCAAAAGATCAAAATAAGTATAACATTTCCATTAGCCTAGAACTGATGCAATATTAGTCTCCTATCTGAACGTTTTATATGAGTTTGTTTTTAAGTTCCATTTGTTTGAATTAAAAGAAAGAACAGAATAGTTTCTGCAACATATTACAGTACAGGGGTATTATTATTACAGTATTATGCTGCTATTATAGTATTGTTGTTATCACTATGTATGCGCTGTTCATCAGAGATCTGAGTTATGTACCAACCTAAAGATGTCCTTAGGAATGTATCTCATCAGTACCCCAGGGACTGCTTGTATTCTAATTTGAAGTCACCTTTCTAAACATCAATTAATATATATCATCATTCGTGTACTGATGTTATCAGGGCTGTATGCCACTATCCTGAATACTGTTTTTTTGAGTCTTTTTCCCCCTAATTTTACTCTATTTTCTTTGTGGTTTGTTTCCTACTTTGACCTATTTGCCTAGTTATAAAGGATTAATTACTCCTTACTTACAGGTTTTTGTTTTACATTAATGGAAGCAAGTTTTATATGCTTCCAAAAACTGATGAAAACAATAGACTATAATTTGAATTCTTTTAATTCAGGGTCATCTTCCTAAATATCAGTGTATATAATAT